GGTGAATTGATTTATAGAATGGCTTATTTTGATCAAAAATTCGGACTAGTATTTAAGACGACTCTAGTGTTAGATGAAAGATTTACTTGTCTACCAAAATGTTAAGATAGGTCTCATAATAATGTGACTTTGAGTTTGGGATCATGACACATGAATTGAGGATAGTAATAAAATCAAAGCATGTTGGTTGAATTGTCAAAAATCGGCGATACAATTGACTTTTAACAATAATATATATAGTACAAAGCATATCTTTGTGTATATTTTCACACATCTTTAATCATAATTACTAAAAATACTTTCTTCATAATTTATAAACATTAAAGTTGTACCAACAAATACAAGAAAACATTGACTTATCCCAAAATGTGATATTTTGGTGATAAACTTCATAATCCTTTTAGAATGAAAATAGTAAACACACAATGTAAGTACTACTTATTTAAAAGTGCTAAGAATTTATCACATTCGAGCTGCATACTTTTTGTTTACTTGTTTAAAGACTTTGGTAGAGTTCGACAGCCAATCTAGGAGAAAGAAGTGGTTGAAGAGGCTTGACTTTAGGTAAAGCAATACCTAAGCCCTCACTTAAATCTACTGGTTCCTCCTTTAGCATTGAAACGTTGAATCCATGAAGCAATTTTGCTAGCGTCAGATGCACTACTTGGGATCCAAACGTTAATCCAGGACACATTCTTCTTCCAGAGCTAAATGGAATATACTCAAAATTTTGTCCTCTAAAATTAATATTTGTATGTTCTTTTAAAAACCATCTCTCTGGTTTAAACTCATTCGGATCTTTCCAGATTCTCGAGTCTCTCTGAAGCTTCCATAGATTAACAATCAATCGAGTGCCTTTTTTAATATGATACTTATCGACATAACAGTCTTCGAGAGCCTCTCGAGGCCCTGCCAAAGGACCAGGTGGGTAGAGACGTAAGGTTTCTTTTACTATAGCTTGCAAATAGGGAAGGTTTTTGATGTCAGACTCTTCAACCCATTTATTTCTTCCTATATGCTCATCTAGCTCATCCTGTGCTAATTTCAATGAGTGGGTGTTATTTAGTAGCAAAGATAATGCCCATATTAATGTCTCTGCAGTGCTCTCTGATGCTGTCATGATAAGTATCTGCGCAAGTGAATAATACAGAATATTATTTTATCAATAATGCAGATAGTTATTGGTTCAAGTCAAATTTTTTTTTTATTTTTAAAGAAGATAGTATTAATGCAAATAGTTATTGGTTCAAGCAATTTTTATTTTTAAAGAAGATGGTATTAGTATATTAAATATAGACAGTGAAAATGAAAGCCTTCTTGAGTTGTCATTTGCATATCCCTTTCCACAATAAATTATTTTGGTAACCAAGCCATGTGATTTAGGTAAACATATGTTTTCATACAACCTGCAGCCATAGCTACTTCTATTTATTTTATATAAAATTTCCAAATAAAATCCTTTGTTTTATGAATATGATATATTTTCAATTTTAAGAAAAAATGACACATAAGTAGCAAAAATGAAAATGTAAATTTTTTAGCTGAGTAGCATATAAAGTTAGCGCTAAATATATCATACTCCATCCGTCCCGAATTACTTGTCCATTTTTTCATTTATAGTTGCCTCTAATTACTTGTCCATTTTGACAATTCAAGAAAGGATAATTTTTTTTAATATTATACCCTCAATTAAATGACTAATTACTTTGAAATGTGTAGAATTTTTCATTTATTTCATAATTAATAGGGATAAAATGATAAACTCGCTACGTCATCAATTATTCTTTTAATAGATGTGTCAATTTAAGAGTAGACAAGTAAAAAGAGACGGAGGAAGTACTATTTTTGTTTCTTTTTTTTTTGGAAAATGCACAAATACCCCTAGATTATATGACCAAAATTTACACACCTTAAATAGTCTCGTACCTAATCTATTCAATTTAAGTGGGACAGGTCCATAATTGAATTGGATATCCTAAATAAATCTAAGTATTGACTTCGAATTTAGAAAAAAAAATTCTAAGAGTTTATAACCAACACGCTATCGATGAAAATGAAACGATATAGAGAATATTAGAATGTCCCTGCGCAAGAATGACAAACAAAATTGAGAAATAGTCCAAATTTTTAAAATCAACATGGTTTGTGGTGCTTGGGTTCGGGTTTTGGATCCAGATTTCGTCAGAGTTCCAATGTGAACTCGGAACACCAGATGGAAAATAAAAAAAAAAATTATGTTTTTGGTTCAGACTAATAATCATGAAAGTTAACTAAAAGTAAAGTTGAATGACCTAAAGTATATAGTTCATTTTTTCAAAGCATAAATTTGGGATAATTAGCAGCTTACCAAAGTTGTTGCCTTGATAATGGCATCACGATTGTATCCAGACTCCATATTGGTTTCCTCTGGAAGAGTGGAAAGCATGATATCAATAAAATCAGACTGCTCTCCATCTCCAATTGAATTGATATGTTGTTTTAACCAGCTATCAAAAACACTATCAACTTCTTTATAAGTATCTTTCATTGCCTTAATATGTCCACCAATATCCATCCATTCAAACCATGGAATTGAATCAGAAAAAACGAAAGTTCCACCTAAGTACAACGCTTTCTTTATAGATTCTTTGAAATTCATCTCCTCTGCGGATCCAGTAAATCGCTTCCCAGCAAGCATTCTAATGATTATATTGCATGTTATGTTCTCAAACCAACTACTTAAATTCACTTGTCCTGGACAGTTATTTGAGTACAATTCTTTAATACAACTATTCACTTCTGATGTACGGACATGTTTTAGCTTCTCAAGGCGACTGTTGGTTAAGAGTTCAAGAGTTACCATTTTACGTATATTACGCCAGTATGGTCCGTAAGGGGCTAAAGCGAAAATGGCTCCATTATAGCCTAAATACTTGCTTATTGCCATATTTGGTCTACTAGCAAATATTTTGTCATTCTTAGCTGTGAAGCAATCTTTAACCATTTCCCAATTACTGACAACAATAGCTGGATGATCACCAAGTTGCAATTGAAAAATAGGTCCATATTTATCAGCCATGAGTCCTAGGGTTCGACAAACAGGAAGGTGGCCGCTAAGAAGATGAAGGTGACCTATAAAAGGCCACGCACCTGGAGCTTTAGGTGCTGCACTTGTTATGTTTCTACTTTTGTATTTGCGAGCAATAAAAACGGCTAAGAACCAAGCAATTGATAGTGCTAAGAGATGAGAAAGAAAATACATGTTTATATTGTAGTGAAATTTTAGAGCCATTTGGTTATTATATTACTACATAATAGAGGAGATCAGATAGTAGTATTTATAATTGAATTACGAGGTTACAAACACTGTAAAGATTTTTTTTGTGGGGCCTAAAATTAGAGGAGGTAAGAATCAGGGGACCCACAACCTAGACCATATAGTGTGGAATATTAATTGCAATGAAGTACATGCATATAGGCCACAAAAAAAAGATACATGTTACTCTCTGGGTTTATTATTATCAAAAGATATGCACATTTTTAATAATTTAATTTAATTAGGAAATTAACATATATTTTGTTACCCATGTGATTTGTACTTGCGTGTTGTTAGGCAATTAGAGTGTGAGTCTTGCTTTGACACGAAACTCATGAGGGAGGAGATGTCAACTGAAATCTTCTCGAATGGTTGTTAATGCATGACTTCATTGTTGCTTTATGCAAGTAGAATTTTCTACGGACTGGATGAATGAATAGATATAGCAAATTATAAAGAGAGGAAAGTAATAAGGGGAGAAATTGACACATAAATTTTTATATTTATTTGAATTATCAATATGATTCCATTGTATAGTCACATAAGGTTACAAAAGTTCTCTTATAGCCTTAGGAAACATTAATATTTGAAAATTTGTGTCTGAAGTGCATGTATTTTGTTTCTGAAATTTCAACAATTCAATATCTAAATCTATTTCAAATAATTTAAATTGAAACATAAGTCATATATAATAAAGAACAAATTTTAATCATAAACTTATCAAAACGACAACAAATGTAAAATCTATTTAGCACATTTTAATTTTTTTTAAAGTATGTACCGGTTTCAGTTAGACATGACTAATAATTCTTGTTAAAATTTACTTACGTTTTAAGAGTAGGTGTATGAATATTCTTGCCAACAAAATAGTACTCCTTTTTATGTTTAAAAAATAATCTTTTCCTTTTCTTGAACAACTTTTTAATATTTTTTTTTACGTGGCATGTTTAAGATAAAAAAATTAAAGGATACTTTGATATATTTGACAGATCTCTAATTATAGATCACAAAATTAGAAGTATTTTACTTTCTTAAACTCTATATCAAGTTAAATCAAATCACTCATTTTTTATTTTTTAAAATCAAAATTTTGGTGGTTGTTACACCGTTTTATTAATATTCATATCAAATTTAATACAAACTTCAGCTACGAGCCGCAAAATAATCCAAAAGCTCAAAGGCCAAAGCTACACATTATTTGGACCAACCACTAAAATCGAACCTATCTACGGCATGACAATTGGGTGGGACGAAAGCAAGGTAGGACGGATTTCGGAATATTCGGGCTGAGCGGATTTAAGACCGTGTGAGGTGGGTGGGATGCGGGGCGGATTTAAGTGAATTTTTGTAAAAAAAACTAGTGTGTGGTAGGGTGAGCGGACTGCGGGTATATATAATTATATGTGAGTTTAAACTTAATTTTAATTTTAAACATGTTATAAGAGTGATAGAGCATTATTTGTTAAGATAATTTCTTTAAAGGTACTAAAATATTCGAGATAGTAAATTAAAATGGTTCAATAAAAAACTAATTCAATTTCTTACGTATTTCCCAATATATTGGCCTTTAAAAAGAAATATTTAACTCATTATTCTATTAAACTAATACAACTTAATAAAAAACTAAATTTATTTTTAATATCAAACTTAACTAGAAAAAGAAAAGATTAATAATTTATGTGGAGCGGGTTCATGAGAACGGGGCAGCATGGGGCAAGTTGAGGATGAAAAAAAAATTATGCACGGCTGGAAGTATTAAAAATTTTCCAGATTCCTCAACAATCTCGATATCATGCCCCGAGACCTAGGATCACGAGTAATTTCAAGCTAACTTTGCTAGCATATGAGCATCATATGATACTTCATGATAACTGAAGTATGATAATTCTGAACGGACACTTAAAACACAATGCAAACTGAAATGATAAGGAATACCTATACTATCTGAATATATAAGAAAATTGAGAATTTAACAACAATTGAAAAGTTAAAATCGAATGTTAAAGTTGAAACTAATTATGTCTGAAATAAAGATTCTACTGATTAGAAAATACTGAGACATGCCCCAACTAGATCTAATAAATACTGAACTAAAGACTAAAAGCAAAGGAAACATGTTTGTCGTCCTCGGAGAATGAGGACTCACCATTTATACTATTGAACTGAAGATCAGAAACCGATCCATGCGTGATCTGAAAGCTGAGAAACTGAATCTATATCATGAGAAGATGTACTGGAGAGTAGAGTATGTGTCGGTATCGAAAGGCATCACGATTGTACTTGAGGTTGCAAAAATTTCCTTTATAGATATAGCAAATTATAAAGAGAGCAAAGAAACAAGGGGAGAAATTGACACATAAATTTTTATATTTGCAAAAGTTTCCTTTATAGACTTGAGGAAATATTAATGACAAAGTGTTACGTGTGAGCCTTCAAAATTCCTATAATCTATATGATTTTATTTTTTTTGGGTTCACAATCTCTATTCTATAGATTTTTATTCTCTTTTTTTCTTTCTTTCTTGTTACTAGTAAACTACAATGAGAACGATGATTTTGTAAAACAAAAGAGGTGAATAGTATTTTATACTGCTTGGTATCAATTTTTCCGAGATAAAAATGTCTTCTTTTTTTTACTTTTACATTAAGTATTCAATCAGTGTCATCATTGAAACGGGATGAATCAATTAAAGTCCAACACACACATATATTCCATTCCTTGAAATCTAAAAGTACACAGGTACCCGTTTTTTGGAATCACAATTTAACTAATGTCTACTTTACAATTTTCTTTTACAAGTTAACCTATTTTTTGGGAATATTTCAAGTATACACGATTAATATTGAAAATTTGTGTCTGGCGTGCATGGATCTTGTTTTTGGAATTTCAACAATTCAAAATTTAAATTTATTTCAAATAATTCAAATTGAAATAAATTTAAAGGACATTTTAATATATTTGACATATCTTTAATTTTAGACCACAAAATTAGTAGTATTTTTTATTTACTTAAACGCCATGATAAGTTTAAAAAATCACTAAATTTTTATTTTTAAAATTATTATAAAGAAAACTTAGAATAATATAATGTAATAATAAGAAGAAGACAAGAAGTATAAAACGGAGGAGAGAAATTTTCTTATTTAAGTGTATTTCAAATGGTGAGTGATATTTTTATTTATAGTGTTGAGATATCACTCACAAAAGTCATCTAATAAATAGATACATAGTTATCTTGGATGTTCTTATCATATTAGAAGCAACAATACATGAATCCAATTTGTTTGGATAAATCTAATGGATAATCCACATGTATAATACAATGGATTTATAATACTCCCGCTTGGATATTCATGGATAATGTGTGTCTTAAAACCTTATTAGGAAAAACTCAATGGGAAAAAGTCTAGTGAAGGAAAAAGAGTACACACATCTCATAATACACTTTGAATGTTGTCTCGTTAAAAACCTTGCCAGGAAAATTGAACTTGGGACAAAACCATAGTTAAGGAAAAGAGTACAACGTGTATTTCACTCCCCTGATGAAAACTTCACGTGATATCTCGGAGACAGCGCGTTCTGATCTTCTACCTCAACTTCTCAAACATTGATGTTGGTAATGCCTTAGTGAATAAATCAGCAAGATTATCATTTGAACGAATTTGTTGAACTTGTATCTCACTATTTTGTTGAAGATAATGCGTGATAAAGAACTTTGGTGAAACATGTTGTGTCCGGTATTTTTTGATGCATCCTCCTTTCAATTGAGCTATACATGCAACACTATCTTTGTATATTGTAGTTGGTATATTCTTTTCAACGAAAACCCACACATTTTCTGAATATGATGGGTCATTGATCTCAACTAGACGCACTATCGACTTGCTTCATGGATGACTATTATTTCCTCATGATTTGAAGAAGTGACTACCAACGTTTATTTCATTGATCACCAAGATATTGTCATGTCTCCACATGTAAGAAAATATCTTGATTGCGACCTATCTTTATGTGGATCAGATAAATATCTTGCATATGGGTAACCAATTATTTCTGACTTGGATTTATTGGAATAGAATAACCTCATGTCCATAGTGCTCCACAGATATCGAAGTATGTGTTTAACATCATTCTAATGTCTTTTTATTGGAGAGGAACTGAATATTGCCAATAGACTTACTGCAAAACAGATATCTGGTCGTGTATTATTAGCAAGGTACATTAATGCCCTGACTACGCTAAGGTAAGGAGTTTCAACACCAAGAAGTTCTTCATCCTTCTCTTGAGGTCGAAATAGATCTGTATTGATGTCAATCGATCTTACCACCATTGGGGTACTCAATGGATGTGAGTTATCCATGTAAAAATGTTTTAATATCTTTTTCTGTATATGTTGATTGATGAACAAGTATTTCATTTGACAAATTCTCAATCTGTAGGTCAAGACAAAATTTTGTGTTGCCTTGATTTTTCATTCCAAATTCACTTTTTAGACACTCAACAACTTCTAAAATCTCTTTACGAGTGTTAATGACGTTCAAATCATCAGCATACACGTCTATTATAACAAATTCAGATTTCGATAGTTTAATGAAATATACGGACAAATGGGGTCATTTTTATACCCTTTCTTTTATAAATATTCACTCAGACAATTGTACCACATTCTCCTCGATTATTTCAGTTCATACAGATATTTCAGAAGCTTTATTGAACAAGTGTCTCTTGAATCTTTCTATGCTTCAGGAACTTTCAATATTTCAGGAATTTTATGAAGATGTTGTGGTCCAATGAGCCATATAGATAGGTTATGACAACGTCCATTACACACATTTTAAGTTTTTCATGAACTGCCAGATTTATAAGATATCTGAAGGTGATTGCATCTACCACAGGAGAATATGTGTCCATGTAACAAATGTCAGGTCTTTGAAAAAAATCTTGAGCAACAACTTGAGCTTCATATCTCACGACTTCACCTTTCTCATTTC